GAATTTCCTGACAATGACATGCAAGTGTGATTTCCTTCCATTGTAGTGACAGTTAAGAAGTCCCCTCTCTCTGTCTCTCTGTCTCTCTCTCTCCCTCCCTCCCCCTCCCTCCCTCCCTCACTCACTCTTGGCTTGGAAATTAAATTATGGTAGTTCAGAAAAGAAAATATAACATTTTCTATAAAATCTACCCACACCCACCTCTATTTTCTTGGTGAATCCATGTTCATCTTCTAAAACCCACTTCACATGTTGCCTCCTTCAGGAATCTTTCCCATCTTCTTCTCCCCCAATCTCTGGCCTGTGCCTGTTGTTATGTTACATAACAATTTGTTCATATTTTCGCTCCCCTACGATCACTGAGGCAGGGGCCAAATGTTACTGCTCCTTGTCCCAGGACCAAGCACCTAGAGCAGTGGTTCTCAACCTTCCTAATGCCGCGACCCTTTAATACAGCTCCTCATGTTGTGGTGACCCCCAATTTCATTGTTACAAATTGAACATAATGAAAGCATAGTGATTAATCACAAAAACAATATGTAATTATATATGTGTTTTCCGATGGTCTTAGGCGACCCCTGGGAAAGGGTCATTCGACCCCCAAAGGGGTCACGACCCACAGGTTGAGAACCGCTGACCTAGAGGGACTTCAATATTTCATGAAAGAATGAATGGCATTTTCATTTCCCAAAAAATATATTTTAAAGGAAACTAGAAAATAAACCATGCTAATTTTTTAATGTGGAGGGTGGGGATGAAATGTATGCTTACCGGTAACATGTTGTTGAGTAATTTGGCAAAAATGATGTGTATACCATGGTAAAATCTGAATAAAAGTAGAAAAAGATGGTATCCACTATAATGTCAAATAAAAAATCCCCTTCCTTCTGGCAGCATACAAGCAAAAGATTCAGAAAATTGGCTGCACCTCACTTTGCATCTAGATATTTTGTCATCACTTAATGCAGTGGTTCTCAACCTTCTGGCCCTTTAAATACAGTTCCTCATGTTGTGACCCAACCATAAAATTATTTTCGTTGCTACTTCATAACTGTCATGTTGCTACTGTTAGGAATCGTCATGTAAATCTCTAATATGCAGGATGGTCTTAGGCGACCCCTGTGAAAGGGTCGTTTGACCGGCAAAGGGATCGCGACCCACAGGTTGAGAACCGCTGACTTAATGCATTTAACCAGCATTTACAGTGTAGACACTTGCACAGAGCACCATGCCAAGTGCTTTAGCAATAAAAGAAAAAGATCCCGTTCTGAGCAGCTGTTATTAAATGCTTCTTACATGAATTGCCCCATAGCAATCAACTCACATCATTTCCACTGATGTCAGGGTGAAATCCCATTGCATATCATTTCCTGATACCACTTGAAACTTGTGCGTTCTTGTCGAAGTCTTGCCATTGTTGCCCGCACAGCATTTTAGGCGTACCTGTCTGAGATGGATTTTCATTTATATTTTGGCTGGCTGCACATGTCTCTATCTTCTAACGCCTGGGCCAAATCCAGCTTGCTACCTGGTTTTAGAAACACGATTTTACTGGACAGCACAGTCATTCATTCACGTATTGTATGGGACTCCTTTTGCATGCCACCAGGGTAGTTGAGCCGTTGTAACAGGGACTGCGATGCCAACAATATTTACTATCTTGCCCTTTATTGGAAAAGTTTGCTGCCCTCTCTTCTAATATATTGAGAGGGCCTTAAAAGCGGTGGGTTATGTTTTGTTCCTTTTGGTTTTAACCCTAACTTCAGTAAATTTATTAATTCAGTCAATGAATTTTTGAGTCCTACTATGTGCAAGGCAGTGTTCCAGGCACCGGTGGGACATCCTTCAAAGAGCTAAGCCAGGCCTCTGCTCTCGGAGAGTTTATATTCTAGTGGCGCAGCAGTGGGGGGAGATGGTGCAGTGAACAAACTCATACATATGTCAGTGATCAATGTTCTGGAGAAAAACAAACAGATGGGGGAAGGCTTGCCACCAGCGGTGGGTGGGTGGCTGTGGGGGCAGCAGGGGAACTGGCTTTATGTGGGTTCACAGAGAAGGTGACATGGGGGCCGAGAGTCATGTGCATTCCAAGACCTTGTGAGGGGGAGGCAGGACGTGCTTGGCATGTTTTAGGAATCGCAGGAGGCCATGTGCCCGGAGCCGACCAAGGGCTAGAGTGGGAGGAAATGAGGTCACTGTCTGGTCTGTGTTCTCTAGGACTGGCTTTATTCTGCTCATTTTCTCTCTGAGTGAGATGGGAAGTCCCTGGGCAGGGGTGGGGGGGGGGGGGGGAGCAGAAGAGAGGCATCCCTTGTCATGTTTGAACAGGATTGCTGGCTTCTGAGTACAGGATAGGCTACCGAGGGAAGGCAAGAGTGAGAGAAGCCAGGAGACTGTTTAGAAAGACATTGTGATAAACCAGGTAAGAGGTGATGGCTTGGCCCATGATCATGGAGGTGGGATGCTGACGATGCCAGCTCTGGCTTCTCGAGCCAGCTCAGTGCCTGGCATTTGGTAAATGCCCGTGGAATAAAATGTCAGCGTTTCCATTGGGGTCAGCAGTGGAATCACCGGTAGGAATTCTGATGGTGCCACTCCAGAGCTACTTGAAAACCCTATGGTCATAGCTCTGCAGGCATAACCACTGCTCATCCCTCTGTTGCGATCCATCAGTAGGTGTTCTCCTTGTTTCACCTGAGAACAAAGCTGGCTGAAAGGGCTCCATTTTTACTTGAATTTACATGCGTGTGACGGGAAGAGAGAAGAAATTAGAGATAATTCTATTTTTCCATGATTAACCAAAATAGTGATTAGTCGGGAAAACCTTTCAATCTCTTCCAGGCCACCTGTAGGAAGAGTTGGCTGGGCCCGAGCAGGAGCCGTAGGTTTCTCACAGCAGCAGCCCTGGCTTCCCGCGGCAGAAAGACGAGCGAGCTTGAATATTTCAAACCCATTTGTTCTCTCCTATGTAGTTAATTAATATTAGCGAACGGCTAAAGGGTTTTTCTTTTTAAAGATACCAGGCTTCTGTGAAGCCAGCAGCTCTTTAATTTTTAACAAGCTCAGCACATACTCTGCACTTTTAATGAGCAGTTAGCATGCAGTTGGTAGCAAGAGGAGCATGAGTTTCATCAAAGCACCGCATGGGGGTTCTGAGGGAGGCCATTTCAGAAGGGGTCAGGGTATTGGAGACAGCGAGAATTTTGTAAATAAATGGAGGTGTGAATACAAAAAAGGCCGATTGTCGGAATCACTGAGCATAGCTCTGCATGTGAAGCCGTCCCTTAAATGGGCCCGAGAAGCCCCCCCACCCCCGGAGGGTGATTTGAACCTCAAGTCCACGGGTGAACCGCACTATTCTCCCACAGCCGGCAGCGGGCTGCCTCTAACGTGCCCGCAGACCCTCTGCTAATGGCCTTGAAAGGGAGAAGGTTCAAAGAGGCTTGGTTCCCAGGCCTGCTAATGAGCACGAAGCCTCTTCCCCTTAATGAACCGGGCTTATGTGGGATCCCCCCCCTCCCCTTCATGGCCAGGAGAGCGTGCAGCTGGGCCCCCCCCGAAGGCGGCCTGGAGGGGAGCCACAAAGCTGGCGGAGGTCGTGCCGGGCCGGCAGGGCTCTGAGTGTGTGGCTGGACCTCCTGCCGGCCCGGCCCAGCCCTTGATGGGCGTTTCTAGGCCAGGGGGGCTGTGCAGGGTCCCTTCACAGCCTGGGAGCCTCTTCCGAGTCATGCGACAACCTTTGGCTGCTTTCTAAACTGTGATCATGACCCCTGTTGTAACTTCTCACATGAATATTGTAGCCACTAAAATCCTTGTTCTAATGAATTACATTGTTATTAGTCTTTGGTAGCCAAGCTCACCGCAGCCACTAAAACGGCCCGCAGATGTTTTTCTGTGCCCACCCACGTCCCATCTCCGGGGTTAAACAATACAATTATTCAGAAGAGTAACAGACACTCGCCCAAAGCATCCCTCTCTCACAGTCATCTTTGTGGAAGTCAGTGTTTTTTTCTCAGGAATATAGATTACAAACTGGCATCTCAGATGGAAGCGTTATTTCTGCTGAAACCGTGCATTTGGTTTCGTACCCATTGCGTGCCCATTTCCACAGTAAGGGCCGTTCTCCTCTCTGAAGCGTCGTTTGGTATTACAGAGTTCTTAAAAACACAGATACGTGAACATGTACGTTCCTAAATCCTAAGTTCGGAAAGACTCTGCAGTTCAGTAATTAATGTTTCTACATTTTAATTTTCAACGGAAGGGAGAACCTGGCTGTGACACAGTGAGATTGTTGACATGAGAGACAAACGATGAAAATGACAGTTACAATCACTTGCCAATTTGGAGTAAGACCTTTGAAAGTAAAAATTACCC